TAAGTTATGAATTCTTTCCAAATTGATCTATAGATTGAATGTAATCCCAATCAAAATCCCAGGAGGATTTTTTTTTAAAGAAATTAACCAGCCAATTCTAAAATGTGGAAATGCAAAGGTCATAGAATGGCCAAAACGATCTTGAAAAAGACAGAGTTGAAAGACTCCCATTACACCACAGGGATGCATTAGCAAAACCCACGTTGTAGGAAATCCTACAGGACAAATTAGTTTATATATGTATGTGTACATATATATGTGTGTAACAGTGTGAATTTTGCTGATGCATCTCTGTGGTATGATGTCACACATACACACACATACACACACCCACACACACAAAGAGACTAAAGACTTAATCATTAATAGCACACTGGGCGCCTGGGTGGCTCAGTTGGTTAAGCGACTGCCTTCGGCTCAGGTCATGATCCTCGAGTCCCTGGATCGAGTCCTGCATTGGGCTCCCTGCTCAGCAGGGAGCCTGCTTCTCCCTCTGACCCTCTCCCCTTTCATGTGCTCTCTTTCTCATTCTCTCTCTCTCAAATAAATGAATAAAATCTTTTAAAAAAATTAATAGCACACTGAAAACAAACATTTACGACAATTAGAAATCTGAGTATTTAATGAAATTACAAATAATGTTAATTTTTAGAGTGTGAAAATGGTATATACTTAAATCTCTACTTATTTTGTATTCATTCTTTATCTTATTTCTACCAACATCTAATTTTTTTTCCTACTTCTAACAGAGACTAGTAGATATACCCCCAAAATTATTAATATTTGACTTTCCTCAACACCAAACAGTGCTTAGGGAGAATATGAGGGAAATGTTAAGTTCATGACACTACCAAAAAAGGGAGGAAAAAGGTAACAAAGGTCTTTCAAAAATGTAAAATTCTTTCAATGTGGCTATGATAAACACCATTAGATTTAGTATGGTGGGCAAGAGCCCTGTGTATGGTGGAATTTCAGAGATGCTAAAAGATTTCTCTGCCCAAAATCACCAAGTGATCAGCTGGATCACTACAGTTCTATTTCATATATCAAGTTCCAGTGAAATTCTAACTCTTAGAAGCTCTTTTTATTTTTTTTTTAATTTTTTTAAAATTTAAAATCTATTTATTTATTTATTTGAGAGAGAGAGAGAGAGCAAGCACGAGTGGGGAGGGGCAGAGGCAGAGAGAGAAGCAGGCTCCCCACTAAGCAGGGAGCCTGATGTGGGGCTCCATCCCACAACACTGAGATCATGACCTGAGCCAAAAGCAGACGCTTAACAAGCTGAGCCACCCAGGCACCCCTAGAAGACTCTTTTTAAATGCAAATGTTCTGGTGAGGTAACCTACTCATCCAATGGAACCCATTAAAATTTTAGCAAGTAGTTTAGAATAGTTTAGATTAGAAACAGCTTAGAAGTAGTTCAGATATTTAGCTAGAAGGCAGATCCTGGGATAATATGAGTCCAACCAGTTTAAGTAGTAGAGGAGAAAGCTGTGTCCTGTGGAAGGTCCAGCATGAGAAATCCTAATGCCCAAAAAGATGAAACAGCAGGAAAAAACCCTAGCACACCAACATGTAGTAATGGATATTAGAGACACTAGACTAGTGTTTTTCAAACTGCCTCTACAACCAGAATTATCTTTTCATAGACTAGAACAGAATAGAAAATATCCAAATGTATCACACATCAGAGTAAGTTTTCTTTCATAAAACTATTTTTCAGGGGTGTGTGTGTGCATGTGTGCACATGCACACACACATACATACATAGGTCAGAATGTAAAAATATGTTTTACTGTGGGTCATGTTCAAAAATATTTCAGAGCCATCACAAGAGTCTATAAGCTTTGGGTGAGCAAAGGCTGTGTCTGCTTTTATTCACCATTACATCTGCAGAAACAACACACTGCCTGGCACACAGCAAATGTTCAATAAAATTTGTCAAGTGAACACAAGAATGAGGACAGATGTTGAAAAAATGTGGGGAAGAAACCAACACTAAATTTTACCTACTTCACAATTTTGTTTTGGTCTCTATAGTATCCTAAATAAAACCTTGTGTTTTTCTCAAGAGCAGATTTTTACGAGGAAGAGTAATTTATAAAAGCTAAAACTCTTCTAACTCTCAAGCCTATATAGTTATGAAGCCAAAAATGACTACTTGACCATCCCCCTCCCAGTGTTGCCCTTTTCACAGCCAAGCCCCCTGCTGAAGGAGCTGGAAGTGTTGTCCTCCATCATCCAAGCCCAGAATTCAACCAGGAGGCAGCAGAAAAGGGACTGATAAACAAAAATGTACTTTGATCCTCTCCAAATGTACAGGAGGAATCATTAACCCTGCCATCACCACCACAGGCTGCTAGTCAAGAGCTGAAACCTTGTTGTAAGAAAGCCAACTATACTGGGGAGCCTGGGTGGCTCAGTCTGTTAAGCGTCTGCCTTTGGCTCAGGTCATGATCCCAGGGTCCTGGGATCGAGTCCTGCATCGCATCGGGCTCCTTGATCGGCGGGGAGCTTGCTTCTCCCTCTGCCTGCTGCCCCCCCTGCTTGTGCACACTCTCTCTCTCTCCCCCTCTCTGACAAATAAATAAAATCTTTAAAAAAAAAAAGGAGGAAGCCAACTATACGGGTAAGAATGAAGCCACAAAACACTCCTACTGCAGCATTTGGCTTCTGCATGAGATATGCTAAGCATTTTATTAATGAAAACATTTCAAGGTTGAATCATGATGATAAGGTCTCCAGTTTACATATCAACTCTACTGGTTCCCTGGATTGAGGGTCCATCTGAGTCAATCATCTCAACACAAGTAGAATGGAGTGTTCATGTCAGAGCCCAGGGCAAGTACAGGAATAAGGAGCAGAAGGGGGTGCTCTGGAACAGACATCTTTCCCACTGAATCTCTTCAAAATTGAACACCTGTTTCCCAAGTCTAAAAAAGGAAAATAGTAACGAAAAAGAGCTTGTGAGAGCATTCTGAGGCTATTCTCCCAGATAGCAACCCCCCTCCATGCAAAATAAGAATCTGACCTATCCTTTATTACCTGTTTTGTATTTTTTTTAAAGATTTTATTTATTTATTTGACAGAGAGAGAGAGAGAGAGCACATAATCAAGGGGAGGGGCAGAGGGAGAGGGAGAAGCAGACTCCCTGCTGAGCAGGGAACCCAACGCGGGGCTCAATCCCAGGACTCTGGGATCATGACCTGAGCCGAAGGCAGACACTTGACCGACTGAGCCACTCAGGTGTCCTGTTTTGTAAATATTCTAAACTAAACGGAGTACAGTCATAAAAAATGTTCATTTCCCTTCCTACTGTAGAATTCCTTTCTCTTCCCCTCTCTGCAATATAAAGATGTTCTTAACCAAATGTTGCCACACACCCAGCTCTGTGAACAACCACAGATGTTACCATATCCTCTCTAATTCTTTCAAGCACTCAGATGAATTATATTTATCACACCTCCCTTCAATTTATTAGCATATGGCTGTATTTTCCAAACTAAAATCCATTAACTTTTATAGGTTTGGGGTATTATTATTATTTTTTAAGTCCTTTTGCAGAAGTGGAAACAGTTGGGTTTTACTAACCATCTCCATGTATGGTTAAGTGGTTGAAGTAACAGGAGAAACAAAGATATTGATTTTAGCAATGACTAAACATGAAAGTGAAGGTATAGGAAGTAACTGTTCTCCAAAGAGGCAAAGAATGAGAGACAACAGAATGAGACCTGCTAGCAGTACCCAAAGGTGTGGACACATAAAACTGCTCAAACACCTGGCATAAATTGCTTTTTAAATAAGAAGTAAGCCTGCACTGTTCTCAAAAATACCAATTAGCCAATGAACTAAGAAAAAGAACAGCTTGAGCTTCTTTAACAGTTTTCAAATCTGTAAGCTCCAAGAACATAAAGAATCTTAAGGGGCAAGCTCTCTCACTCACTTGTTTATGAATTCACCAATTCTTTTTATTAGACTTGCTAAATAAATAAATGTAAATCTATAAATGTAAAACAGGCATTCAAAAACAAATAAGAGGGAGGACCCAGAAAAGAACAGTTGGATCTTTAAAGCACTATAACTACTTATTTGGCTCCTATTATTTTTCTTGTCCTAAAATTCTTACTAAGATAAGAAACTTTGCCTCTACTTCCTCATAACGCAAATCTGTTATGGCTATAGGGGAGCCTGAGATTTATCAGTTGAGCAGCAAAACTGATTTTGCTATATGTAAATGTGCATTTTTAGTTAGCCAATAAAAGAAATGATTGATAAGCAATAAGACCAGATAAAGTAAGAGCCACCTTCATGACGTCGGTGAAGGTGGGTAAATAGGGAGAGGTTTAGAACTAGGAGAGAAGAATTTGTTTGAAGGAAACTGAAGCCAAAAAACAGACAAGTTCACCAAGAATGAAGTCAGAAAAGAAGCAAGACATTCTTTGATTAGGAAAATCTAAAAAGTAAGCAACAGCTTATAAAGTTTCCAAGAAAACTGTACCCAATATATGGATGTGGGAGACCAAGGAAACATAACCACTCATTCATTAAGAATATCCACTAATAACTCAATGAAAGATAATAGTAACTAAATTGAGGACAAGGGTTTAGATTATGAGTAAAAATATAAGCGGAAATTAAAAGTAAAAAAGAACAACTAATTTTTTTTAAGTATTAGTTGAGTCAAATAGCTTTGAGAAATGAGATTCTTATTTATCTAGTAACCTATTTATAAATGATTACCTTCCCTGAGATCAACTCAGTTTATACACTAAGCAATGTCTGCAGCCTACCATGCTAACCAATCCTAAACTACAGTCGCACCCTGAGAAGAAAAAGAAAAGAAAACTAAGATAATGGCCCTCCTCCCCCCCCCCCATTTTACTTTGCTTCATCCTATTCCCTGGCTGGCAATGGACTGAGGGGTGGAAATGGAAATATCCCTGAGTGAAAGCTGGGAGCCTCCTGTTTAGACCACTCGAAACTTACTTTAACATACTTACCAACGTCTCCATAAACATATAGGCCTCTTGGAGGTCTGCTCCTTGAAAAAAGCTGCAAATTAAGAACAAATTATAAATCTCTTACATGGAAATAATTAAATATCATCACATACAGAGTGTTCCTAACTGTCAGATACAGGACTAAAATGGGCTATTGTACACAATAAGTTAAAATATTTGATGTAAAAGGCTATGAAGCCCAAGTTACATTTTAATGCAGGAGGCAAGAATCATAAAGCCCAGAGCAAGGGCTCTGAAGGGACACAACTTGAGTTTGCATCCCCTACATCATTTAGTAACTAGGTAATCTTCCCCCTCTTTCCTAAATGGGCTCCCCAAACAATAATAGCCTAGACCATTCCCAGCAAGCAAGAGATCAGAAGAATTTTTCTAGAGACACTGAATAGTCTCCAGAAAAAAAGGAAAACAAACAAACAAAAATCTGAAGGTACTTATGTGCAGACTTCTCTTAAAGAAATAACTGGTCCCTATTAGATCACCTTACAGTAGAGCACACCAGTCAACCAACCTCTTACGGATAGAGCCTTCAGTTGGCTTGTTAGTATCTGAAAAGATTCTAAAATGAACTGACACACAACAATCAATAGAAACTTGAAAAGGAAAACATTCAAGATGAAAGCTGGAGACCAGAACAAGGGTACAGAAGGGAGAAAAACTCAGAGGAAACAGGGGCACCTGGGTGGTTCAGTTGGTTAAGCATCCACCTCTTGATCTCGGCTCAGGTCATGATCTCAGGGTCTGGGATCGAGCCCCACGTGGGGCTCCACAATCAGTGCAGAGTCTGCTTGTCCCTCTCCCTCTGCTCCTCTCCCACCCTTGTTCATGCATATGCACTCTCTCTCTCAAATAAATAAAGAAAATCTTTTAAAAATAAAACTGCAATCAACATAATTAACATGCTGGGGAAAATAAGAGAAGCTATTAAAACTGTAAAGCAAGAACAAAATGCAATTTTGAAAAAGGAACATCAAGAACAAAAGAACATTTTGAAATTTAAAATATGGTAGCAGGGGGGCACCTGGCTGGCTCAGTCAGTAGAGCATGTGACTCTTGATCTCAGGGTTATGAGTTCAAACCCCACGTTGAGTGTAGAGATTACTTAAAAATAAAAAAATCTTTTCCTTTTTTAAAGGTATTATTTATTTATTTGACAGAGACAGACACAGCAAGAGAGGGAACATAAGCAGGGGGAGTGGGAGAGGGAGAAGTAGGCTTCCTGCTGAGCAGGGAGCCTGATGCGGGGCTCGATCCCAGGACCCTGGGATCATGACCCTCATGAGCCAAAGGCAGACGTTTAACGAATGAGCCACCCAGGCGCCCCCCAAATAAAAAAATCTTAAAAAAAAAAAGTATGGTAGCAGAAATACAATTTCAGAAAAAGGATTAGAAGATAAACTTGAGGAGCTGTCTCAAAAAAATACAACAAATAAACAGCAACAAGAATACATGGAAAAATATAAGAAAATTACTGGATTAATTCATCAGGAGGTCCAATATCTGACAAAAAAGGAATTCCAGAAAGAGAAAATAGAAGAAAAAGGAGAGGAGGAAGTTATCTAAGAAAGAATGCAAAGATTTTTTCTCAAATCTGAAGGACTTCATTTCTAGATTGGGAGGAAAGAGTAAGTACCCAGCACAGGAAGGGAAATAAAACCTATACCAAGTCCCAATCCTGAAATTTCAGATACCAGGGATACAAAGAACACCCTACAAACATCCTAGGTGGCTTTTCGGGAGGATAACAAAGGGGCAAGGGAACAGATCACAAACAACAGATAAAGACTTGAATAAGATTTGAGGGACAATGATTTCCAATCTAATCCATCCAATCTCTCCATCAAGTACGAAAATGGAAAATTGGCATTCCATACATAGAGGGTCTTAAAAACACCTCCCCGTCAGAAATAGGAACACCTTGACTCCAGAAAAGACAGATGAGCCTGAGAAGGAAGCCCTGGTAAGATGGAGGGTTGCTCTAGAAGCAAAGAGGCACAAGCAGATCAAGAAAGCAATCACGTCCGGAAGGAAACAGGAGGATGGAGGGCTCCAAAGGAAGAAACAAAGTGGAACTTCTCTTTGCCTGATATTATTATCAGCCCTAATAACCATCCTAAATTTTGTTTCACTTAGAAGAGTAATCTTCAAACTCTGCAACAGCTTCTAGAGACCTGTGCAAAAGCCAAGGTAAGCCAGGGCAGAGAGAATTCAGACAGGGTAAAAGCAGAAAGAAGTGAAGGCTATGCCACTTAGCACAAACCAGAGCAGATGTTCGGCAGAGAACATTCTCAAAGGCTATGATATCATCTAGTTTTGATTATACAAAATGCTTTTGTTTTTTAATCTGTGGGTTCACTCCAACATACCTCAGAAACCTCTCTAGCTTTCTTGCTCCTCTTGGCTTTCTCTGAGAACCCAGCCCCTGACTCCAGCACGCCCCTTCCAGAAGAACCTTCCCCATGGTTTAGGCAAAAGGATCTTCTTTGCTTTGATTCTGCCAGCTGGATGCCTTCCCTGTGTTCTTCTGCACATTAACTCTCTCTATTCTTAAATTTCAACGGAAAGCAGATTCTACTCCTGCCAAAACCTCTTAATTTGTTTTGTTTTAAAATCTTATATGTGCCATTCTTGTACACTGGTTATTCTATTTTCAACTTGTCAGAAAAAAGCATTATGCTCTTAAATAATTTTAGAACAGCTTCAAATTGGAAAACTTGCATACAACCTCATAATCTCTAAGTATATTCTATGTATTAGAAATCTTTTGAAAGCAACATTCAGGGGGTGCCCGGGTGGCTCAGTCGTTAAGCGTCTGCCTTCGGCTCAGGTCATGATCCCAGAGTCCTGGGATTGGGTCCCACGTCGGGCTCCCTGCTCAGCGGGAAGCCTGCTTCTCCCTCTCCCACTCCCCCTGCTCGTGTTCCCTCCCTCTCTGTGTCTCTCTCTGTCAAATAAATAAATAAAATCTTAAAAAAAAAAAAAAAGAAAGAAAGCAACATTCTGTATTCTGTGAAGTGTCACAGCAATTCATAATTCTTCACAACACATTTTGCAGGAATAGTCCTGGGTCTACTCTAGTACTATTCACATGATACCATCAATATATGCTAAATAAATGAAGTTCGAGGCAAAAATTTAACAGATTGGGGAAAAAAGATGACATAGAGAGAACTCAATCAATGCTGTCCAAAAAAATATCATTTGGTTCTATCTTCTGTTCTACCCACTCAAACTCAACATATTTTGGAAAGAACATTTTAACAAATATGTTACACTATATATTACACACACATTTTCTAATTATGTAACTATAATATATAACTATAACATGTTAGATACCATCTACCTAAACAATATATACTCTAAGTATTTCCACTTTGAGAGGTAAGCTAATTTTCTCCTAATATATTTTCAGTCTACAAAAAACTATTGAAATTATTTCAAGGGATTTAAAAATCTGTATGTTGGGGCGCCTGGGTGGCTCAGATGGTTAAGCATCTGCCTTCAGCTCAGGTCATGATCCTAGGGTCCTGGGATCGAGCCCCGCATGGGGGGCTTCCTGCTCAGCAGGAAGCCTGCTTCTCCCTCTCCCACTCCCCCTGCTTGTGTTCCCTCTCTTGCTGTGTCTCTCTCTGTCAAATAAAGTCTTTAAAAAAAAAGAAAAGAAATTGCAATCTCACCCATATCTGCACTCATTTTTTCCTCTCTCTCTCCTACGACGAAGTAAGATGATTCTTCTTCCTATGTAACTTTTTATCAATTTCTGGATCTCAGTCCTCACCCCCACCACTTTCCCAGGAACCATGCCCATCAAATTAAATGTTTCACTTCTCTTGTAATCCTTTTCAGCAACAGCTTTATAAATGTGTTCCTGTGAATTTATTTTTATAATCTATTAAGTGTAATGTCTTGTAAGCAAGACATAAACCCAAAAGCTATAATGGAAAAGACAGAAACATTAAAAGCAGTGAAATTAAACATATCTGTTTGGGAAAAAAATGCTAAGAACAGTAAAAAGGCAAGAAAAAAAATCTGGCAATATTACAGACAAGAATTTGTTTCCTTAGTAAGCATAGTTTTTATAAACCGATAAGAAAACAAATACAAATGGCTTAAACATTTGAAAGAATACTTATTCTCCTTCACAATAAAAGAGGTATGTTTTAAAATAACAATGAAGGGCGCCTGGGTGGCTCAGTCGTTAAGCGTCTTCCTTCGGCTCAGGTCATGATCCCAGGGTCCTGGGATCGAGCCCTGCATCGGGCTCCCTGCTCGGCGGAAGGCCTGCTTCTCTCCCTCCCACTTACCCTGCTTGTGTTCTCTCTCTGGCTGTCTCTCCCTGTCAAATAAATAAATAAAATCTTTAAAAAAATAAAATAAAATAAAATAACAATGAAATACTGCCATGACAAAAATCTAAAAGTCTGAGAGAATACAGTACCGTCAAAAATGTAAGGAGACAGGCAGGCTCATAAATTAGTAAGAATATGAACTGCTGCAATCTTTTTTTTTTCATAGCACAGTGAATTTTAATGTCCTCCCCTTTGGGGAGGTCACACTGTACACTTTTTTTTTTTTTTTTTAAGATTTTATTTATTTGAGAGAGAGAGAGTGAGAGACAGAGAGCACGAGAGGGAAGAGGGTCAGAGGGAGAAGCAGACCCCCTGCCGAGCAGGGAGCCCGATGCGGGACCCGATCCTGGGACTCCAGGATCATGACCTGAGCCGAAGGCAGTCGCCCAACCAACTGAGCCACCCAGGCGCCCGTGTACACTTTTGGAGATACCCCTAAAGTTGTCCAGTAATTCCACTTCTGGGTATTTATCCAAAGGAAATGAAAACACTAAGAAAGATATCTGCACCCCCATGTTATTGCTGCACAACCAAGACATGAAAATAACAAAAGTGTCCAAAAATTGAAAATGGATAAAGAAAATATATACATTGGGATATTATTCAGGTATAAAAAAGAAGGAAATCTTGCCATTTGTAACAGCATGGACGGACCTTGAGGGCATTATACTAAGTAAAGTAA